TTACCTTGGAAAGGCTCTCAAATTTATTCCTCTCCAAAATAAGTAATTTCAGATCTGTCAGAGTGCCACAATTCTGGAACAATTCATCCGTCAGGGCATTGTGAGAAAAATTTAAATACTGAAATGAGCTTGTTCTGTTGGGGCAAAGCATGTGTGGCATGTATGCATCATATATTGTCAAACTGGCAATATTCATCTCTGAAAACTGTCTGTATAGAATCTCCTGGTTGAAATAATAAACTTTGTTACGAACGTGCTCCAAAGTTAGCGTTTTCATGGAGCCACCCAAAGATACTAATTGTTCCAGAGAGCTTAATAAGGGTAGAAATTCATACTCAGTCAGCTCCGCCAGTGGTCCACGAAAAGTCAAATTTCTCACAGTCAAATGCTCCACAGGTGAATACCAAATAAACAGGAAAATTTCCAAAATGATAGCCCATTGTAAATCCACAGTGTCAAGCATCAGAGCTCTTGTCTTGGTTTTCTTCAGAAGCATTAAAGAAGGAGAGGGGAAATCTTTGTAGCTCAAGGTATATCTTAAGTTAACTATTTTTAAGTTTTCTGAAGTGCTCATTCCATCATACAAGAGGGAAAAACTGAAGTTTTGGGTTGCTGCAAAAACAATATGGAGGCTCCTTGTATTCAAGGCTGTCAGACTCTGAGGCTCATACAGAGAAAAGTCTTCTAAGGTTAGGAAGACAGTGTGCAGCTGCAAATGTATGATATACCTGAAGTCTGACCTTCTTATCATTGTGGCACTTAATCCCAGGTACTCCAAATGAAACATGTTCCTGAATTCCTGACAGATGGGCAGGGCACTAAACTTATTGAAAGAAAGATCTAAATGTCTAAGACATTCAAGAGTTTGACAGTAAACTTTCAAAATGTTATTATGAGATATATCTAAGTATTGTAAATCTTGATTAAAAATGAAGACAGTGAAGTCAAGCTCCGTAATTAGATTATGAGAAAGATTTAATACTTGAAGGTCAGAAAGATAAATAAATTCTGAGATACTAAGTCCAGAGATCCTATTACGTGATAAATCTAATACATGAGTGTGGACTGGAATGTTTTTTGGAACATTAGTTAGCAAATTGCCTGAATAATTTGCAATAAATTCATTTTCCACAGTTGGCTGGATATTATTCCACAGCATGAATGTAAAGACACAAGCAAAGACATAGATATTTGTAAGGGGTCCCATTATGCCTTCCAGGTTTATTTTGGTTCCTTACAGAAACACAGAAGCATATCTTTGTTTGCTGTTCAATATGTCTCACTGATGAGTCCAGCCCTATGAAAAGAAAACACATGGAATTTCCTGAAATTGTTGAACTGCTGAATTTGCTTTTTATTGCTAAAATAAAATTCCATACAAAATATAGGTAATAAAAATTTTATTTTTACATACTCTTGTTCTAAGTTCCTATCAATCCTCCTTACCCTTATTCTTTAATTCCAATTACTGATTTTCTCAGCTAAGTAGAAATTAATTCCTTTATAATTGGAGGAATACAATCAGTGGCAAGTTAAAAAAACCAACCAAGATGTTAAGAAACAAAAATTTCTCAACAATTTTCAAAAATTCAAAACTGGTACAAACAGACATCAATGCATTTAGGAGTAAAGGACAACACAACAAGTTCCCTATACCCCATGTCCACACACATCTGGGGACAGAACTCCAAAAGCCCCATGGGCCCTAACGGGAACGCCAAAGGATATTCCTCTTCACATCCCAAAGACCCAGGACACAGCCATGCACCCCCTCAGCATCAGCTGATCGGAAAAGCTGATCAGCTTTGTCTTTGCTATAGCACAAAGACATAGAGGTCCATTTTTCCAGAAAGCCAAGAAGCTTGAGGAGGAATTATACTGTCTCATGAATATTGTAATGCCAGTCTGTCCAAAAGCATACTAACAGGAAAACCACAGCATAACCGGACACTACGTATGAAGCACTCGTACCCAAAATCTGAAAGAAAACACACGATGCCTCCAAAGACTCCAGGATTTCCTAGGTGTCCTAGGAAACATCCTACATTTTCCAAATTACCCCACAGTTGCAACTCGACAAAAAACCTCTCTAGAAATGGTGAGGGACAATGAGTCTAGTTCTAAGGATCAAAAAGCCCAGGGAGGGAAAGATTTTGTGGATATGGGAAATGGTCCAGTAGAATTAATATATGGTCATGTCTACCAATAGCCTACATAGATTTGGAGAGGCATCAGTCCTATCATGATTATCCTGGGCATTACTCTCTTGTCATCAAGCATTTAACACAACACACAGACAACCTGAAGTATGAGCAACTTATAAACTGTTTCAGGAGACAAACAGCCCCAATTTTTTTCCTGTGCTGATTTTGTTTGAAAAAAACCCAAAGTTTTAAAATTCTGCCCAGTGTAATCTTTTGTTAAATAAAAACCAAAAGTTCTAGGTTATAATTAGTCCCCAATAATTTGATTGACTGATATCAAAACTCATCCCTTCCCCTCCAAGTCTCCTACCAAGCTTAATCAAGTTTTCTTTCAAATAAGTAAAGCAAAAATACGTGTAATTAACATCACCAAAAGCAATAAAAGAATAATCAGTAAAGTGTAAATTTCTACCTCAATAGAATCCAATTGAGAGGTCAAATTCTGTCTTCAGAAAGTTGTGCTAGGGTATCCGAGTACAGAATAGAAATGAAGCTGGGATGGTTGTTCAAAGTACAATATCACTCGCAAGAAGAACCAAGACAAGGAAATCTGACCCAGCTTTCTTCAAGGAGCAGTTGACCCTGTTCTTCAGAGTCCGGCTGGTAAAGAACCTCTTGAATCACATAAACTTTGATCTGGAACTATCTGGAGGAACTTCCCCCTGGGCAAAAGGGATGTCAGGAACAAAGCAAGAAATGTTCTGAAGGGAGAAAAAAACAATGGTCCATACTCCATTGCCAGATGAGTTTTAATTTACTGTTCATGCTACGCTATACACTGCAAGAAAGGACGATCCATGCTGTATAGCATTGAAGAGTGCCACAGCCAAAGAAAAAAGCAGATATGTGTAGCAAAGCAATACTAAAGATCAACGGTTACCCCTCCAACACCATTTTATGATGGTACTAAATTAGAGTTGGCTGAGAATGAAAATTGCCATACCAAACATTTTTTCCTTTCTTCTTTGTTGAAATTCAACATACAGATGATCACTTTCACTGAAATTTCAAAATGCAAGAATATCTTCCAACAGTGAAGAAACACCAGCACCTGGGATTTGATAGAGTCCAAAATACACACAACAAAAAGGATAAAGAAAGTAAATAATGGAGCAAATATAACCCACCTTTTGTGAATGGAATTAATCTCTGATCGAAGAACCAGCAAAAGACCTCTGCATCCTCGGTTAACATCCTCAAAACAGAATTTCAAACATATGTAATCTTCAAGCTGGGGAATCTCACATGAGATGCTAATTCCTTAATAATTACTACCTCAGGATGTAGAAAGAACAGGGTTTTCTTATATAGGCTATACAATTTTTTTTTCCTACAATGCAGGTATTAAGAGCACAATGAAAGTAAACTTTTAACAGTCCAGACTCAAAATATATTTACTTCTGTAATATTTACAGAAGTGTATGGTTTAGGATGAAATAAACCTATCTATGGTACAGAATATTCACCAAGGCAAGTTTATTTAAGTAATTCTGCTAATTTCATGTCTGCTTCTGATGGTTACACAGAAGATGTAGAAATTCATCAACCGCATCTCCTCTTCCGCACACACAGAAAAGAGGAAGCAGAACCTGGACCACCAACTTCTCTTCATATCAAAATCTCTTGCAGAACTCTACCCTGCTGAGTTATTTTCCTCAGCAAGCAGACTAATTAATGTAGCACATTGACAGATGACAAAAGCTTAGATCTCAAAGGCTAGTAACAGGGGCAAACTGGCACAGTTCAAAACCTTTACAAGTCAGTCATCTTTACACTAGAGATGCCTCGGAGTTTTTCAGGGATGCCCCGCATTGTAGCTTTCTTCAAAAAATGATAAAAAATGAACTACAGAGAATATTCACTATGATATGAAAGCTGTAAAGAAGCCATGAAGAACACAGCAACACAGGGCAATCTGGGGATGGACGAATCCAATAAAGAAGCCATTCAATTAACATCTTGAATAGGGACATGAGCCTAGTGAGCAAATCAACAGAGTAGAGAGTGAGTGCATCGCAAAGGCAGATGTAAATAACCAAAACCAACACCTCACTCCCATAAGCCTCCGAACTAATACGACATGCTTCAGTGATTAATTAGCAAGGAAGAAAGAAGCAGAGATGAATGAAGATTTATTTAATCTTCATTAATTTAATCTTAAAATTCATTAAGTATGTAATGAATTCTTCAGATATTAGCAAACCAGAGGGAGAGGGGGCACTTTGGCCTATTCTGGACTCAGTCTAGAGCTTACTCCACCCCATAAAACAGCATCTTGGAGGAGAGCTGAAGGCAAGAAGGGATTCAGCTAAAGAAAGCTGGGAAGTATGAAAATTTATTCTAGATAGCGGTGCCGGCTATATTTCAAGATTGCATTAGATTCCTTTTTAAACTTCTCTTTTGCAATTACCTTTTAATTTTGTAAAAAAGAATTTAACCATTTGCTTTGCTGAAAGAAAATGTCTGTTTTTCATTTTGAGATTGATGAGTAAGACAGTCTGAACAGAAACTGAACTGAAACCATTCTACTTTCGTTGGTGCAGCGAATCTGAGTAATACATTACAGAAAACTCTTTGACCCAAGACAAGACCGGGGATCATGAATGTTTCTCAATAAGCAGCAGGAGTCTGCTTGTCAGCTGATACTGTCTTGTCTTCAAGTTAAAGGAGAAGTTCCCGTTGCTGGGCATTAATCCATGAAAATGAACAGACTAAGGCACTTGTTGACAGAACAATAATATCACAATTAAATTGAGAACTAAATTATGCAAACCAGTGGCAGTTTTACTTCCAATATAATCCATGAAAAAGCTTTGTTGCATGGACAAAATCAAATACACCATCAGCTTTCATCAGAACTGACTCCAGTGCACACAGAACTGTAAAAAGCAAAAGTATCTATACCTTTAGTTGCAGTACATTTAATTTCCTTACCACCCTTCTTTATGAGACTTTAAAATACATTCAAGGAAGCAGTTTGCCATAAAGAAAAATTTGCAGCTAGTTAAAATAAAACTTATACTCCTGAATACCTCTGTTAAATCATTAGGAACATTGCATAATGTTACTTTTACTAACAAGTTCAGCAAAGCTGTGTTTGGGGCTGGTTTCAGTTTACTGATTAAGTCGTTTTGCATGATACACAAAAACTAAAAAGCAGTGTATTTCTGTTCACGCATCCTGAAATGTACCAGCTAAATACCATCCTTTCCAGAGTCAGCATGTGTGTACACTCAAGAAGATACCTTTTTTGCATTTCTGAAGTTTATATTGCTGGGGGGTTTTGTAGCTGATTCTATCAATGAGCACCTATCTTCACGAACAACCTTTCCTCAAGGTACATTTCACACTTCTGCCTGTATGTTGTGATTCCTTATCCAGAGAGGAACCGCAGCTACAGTGGGCTGGGTACCAGAAGCTATTCAGGACCAGCAGTATGCCCAAAGGCGTGAAGAATCTCTCCAACTGGAACTGCAGAAGGAAACTTACATGTGCGAAACACCGAGTTAAAACATAGCCAGAGCAGATGGACTCATCCAAGCACTCAGGAAAAGTTAGTACAATTAACAAAGATTGCAAAGCCAGTGTTTAGTCATATTGAGGACCTTATCTTCAACTGCAACTCTCATTGTCACTACTTAACCCTATGTGTCAAGTAGGTGAAACAAGGGTTAAATGCCACCACAAGTCAAAATGAGCAGAGATTGTATTGCATTTATGCCCAAGCCTATTTTGCTTGGGCATAAACAGACACAAAGATCAAAGCTGTGGAAATCAAACTGGTAACACAGAGCCACTTTGCAGAATACAGAACTTTCTCATTTATTGGTTTATCAATATTGCTTCCTCTTGACCAAACAGTGACTATAAATGAGCATTATAGTCAATCTCAGTAAACACTTCTGAAAGAAAAAGCAGCCAAACTGAAGCCCTGAGTAAAAACACGTGTTTCAGAAAGGTTTTGAACCTTCCCCTCAGCAGAATGCCTCACTTCCCACAGAGT